ATGTCTGAGACATGCCTGAATTGTGAATTCCTTTCTAGAATAATAAATGTTAAAATAACTGACCAGAATTTCTTTTAGGGTCTGAAGGGAGAGGGCATATGGGTTCATTGTGTCTTAGGCTGACAAGCAGCCTCAGGCTTCAGACTTCCATTTAGCATGAGGAGAGAACATGTCACTCAGTTTTATAGAAACCTGCTGATCAGTAAAAAAAATTCAGAAGCAAGTAAACTTGTCTGTGTGAGAAGCATCTTTATTTTCTGACTTTAAATTTTTTAGCTGTTTACTTATTTTTCTTTTGTAGTTGTCACAAAGTGGCAATGGATGCTTGGACGCAAAGCAGCCTGAGCAATAATGATGAGAATTGACTGAAGCTGTCAAAATCTAAGCAGAAGCTCTCTGCAGCCATACAGAGATAAAAGTGTTCCAAAAGTATGTGATCAGTGGGGAAAAAAGGTACAACAGCACATTCCAGTGTGCTAAGGATAAGGAGGGGCTGTTACATATTTTTTATGGGCATAGGTCTTATCTGCACAGGTCTATTGCATCAGAAAAATGATAAACAGTTTTTCTTTGTTGCTTGGGTCAACATCAAAACTGTTCTTCAAAATAACATATTTGGATTTTGGATTTCTGGTAAATGAAAGGGATTGCTCTTTATGGTGAGGTTTGAGTGGCTAATGTGAGTGCATCCATAAATGTTCTCCTTTTGGGCATTTTCCCAGTTTCTAGTGTTCATGACATTGCACCTGGATTAACTTGTTTTCTTATCTGTATGGCCTCTATTGCTTTGGAGACATCTTAACTGGATGTCATCTTGGTTTTAAATCTTGGCAGGCAGCCAGCAGTGCCTTCCTTAAATGCAATACACCAGTGAGTCAACATGTTTGCTTTATCCACAGTAGATGGTAGATTTTTTTGTGTCAAGCGTTTCAGAGGGATACTTAGCTGTTGATTCTGTGTACTGTCTGAGAGCACTCTGAAAATGAGGCTTACAAAACAAATATTAAAAAAAAAACCACCCCAAAACAACAACTTAGAAATTGTGGTGTTTCCTGTATCTGAAATAGCAGAGCTTTTTATACACATCCCCCAGTGAATCCTGAAAAACTTCCTGCAGATGAGTGGTGGAATAGAATGTGAATGGATGATTCACTTGGGATACTGAGCAGTTGGCTTGAGCGAGCAGAGGGCTGTCTTCATGGAATGATTAACCAAGGAAGTCTGGGATAACAAAATGGAGCAGGAAGACTTTGATGTGATTAAATTGCTGTAGCTTCTGAATAAACTGGATTGAATCACTGTGTCAGTGCAAGGAGGTGAAGAGGATTTTCAGGATTTTTGGATGAAAAGTGCTATAGAAGTGAGTTACAAGTCAAATAGATTACCATTCTTCTGGTGTTGATGGTTGATTACGTATATGATATTTCAAGCTTTAAAATGCACAAATGAGTGCTGTTGCAACAGCTGCTACTATCCTAGCTAGGAAATACACAATCTGAAATTGGTCCTTTGGAAAAGGCAAGTCGTATTTGAAATAAATGGACATAATTTTTCTTGAGTCTACAGAGATACTGGAGGTTGTTATATACAACTGTTTATTGTTATTTTCTTATTGAAGAACAAAAACAAAACCAAACCAAGATTTGAATGCATTTTACATCCATCCAACTTCTGTTTCTCTTGAGACTCTAGATTCTATTAACTTCTAGTTAATAGGGGAAAAAAAAAATCAGGAGAACTGCTTGGTGTGCAACTTGCATGCTAAGTTCTGGTTCAGAGCACTCAAGCTGTGAGTCGTTACATTTGTGTGTCTTCTAGTGGGAATGTGGACACAACTGCTGTAATTACATTCCTTCTGTGTTCTTGGAGAGGAGCTTCACTGATGCTGATAAAATTAGGATTTCAGATTAATCCAGATTCTTATCCTGCGTCTTTGACTCTTGCTATCAAATAAGCAATAGATTTTTAGCTCAAATAAAGAAATCTGTTCTGTCAAGCTCATTTGACTTTATCAAGCGCTGTTACAAATTGATTAACAGTGCAGTTTGCAGTGGATGGAGAATGACATGGTAAGAAGCCTGTTTTACAAATCGTGTTGCAGGTAGAGACTTGACTCTTGGATTTACAGGCTTTGCTTCAGATAGTTACTATGGTTATGAGATAAACCAGCAGGAAGTGACTTTTTGTTGTTACAAGGGATAAACATTTGAGAGGATGCAGATGCTCTCTGTGAAAGTCTCCATTCCAGGTCACCCTGTGTGCACTGTTGCTGTCACTTAGCCCTCGTCCATACTTTTCTGCACGTGGCTGAGATGCTCCTGAGCAGGTGATCTGTTCTGTGAACTTGTGCTCCATGGATTTAGATTTTTTTTCAATTCAAGTGACTGCCTAATCTGTTCACAACTAGGTAGTATTTGTGATAAATGGATTTTACTCTTAAGAGGAAGGTCTAGGTAACCTTTTCCCAGTTCTGTTTTAAAAGCCTCTGATCCTTGAGTTCTCACAGCAAGATACTGGTGACAGCTGAAGTGATAGCTTTTAGCTGTTTACTAGCTTTTTTTTTTCTCTGGGGATGTAGAGCAGGGAGCTGTTCTTGTCATTTAAAGAGTTTTCTTCAGAAAAGTCCTTCTGCAGAAGTCAAGGTGACCTGGCTGACTTTGATACTTACGTACTCTGACCTCAATCTGATTTGTACCCACCTAAAGACCAGCGTCTTTTCCAATCTAGACTGAAATCCTGGGTCAGTATAACAGAGAAATACCTTTGCCTTTGAATTCCTCACACTGAATGTGGGATTTTAACTATACTGATCAGCAGGCTTCATTTGAGTCTGGTATGTAGAGCTTGTTTTATAGCCTACTGGGGAGAAGAGGTACTGCTCTGCTGTCAGGGTTTGCAGTTAAAAAAAAAGTGTCAATTCAGTGAGTGATGCTGGAGGTGAACAGTTTTGCATCTGAAACACAGTGTACTACTGGCTTTCAGCTGTAAGTCTTCTGGGACTACTTGCTTTTAGAAACCTTGACTACACTGCCTTGATATACTGCTGACATTGGACAAAATAAAGGCCTACTTGCAAATTTGTAGAGATGAGCTGAAAACAGAATTTAGGAAGATAAAGGAAGATACAGAAAGGGAAGATAGAGGAAAAAATAATTTCACACTTTAATTTTAAATGATGGTTAGTAAAGCTAGAACTATTTCCAACACTTCCCCCCTTCTTGGTCTCACCACTGAGACGGAGAAGAAAGTCTTCTGGTGTAAGCAGAACACAAATTCTGTGGTTATGAAACATCCCAAGGTAGGAAGGGTTTTTCTGGTATTTAGTATTGGATTATAACTCAAAAGTTCATTTTCTTGACCCCCAAAAAAAGACCAATCCCAAAACCACAGCTCTGAAAGCTCAGCCTGCCACCTGACTACTTCAGGCTGCGATTTCTTGTGTGGAAAATGATGATATTGGTGTTTTACTGGAATACTGCTGTAATCTAGTGTTGCTGGCTCTGACTCTGCTTGTAGCCAAAAGCAGCAAGTCCAGACTACAGCAAGCAGCGCAGAATTTGGGGAAAGGTGCTGACTGCCCTGCAAGCTTGGTTTGGCAGCAAAGGTGCTTTGATCCTGGAAAAACATCAGTTGTCAGATAGTTGATTTATTAATTTATTAATTCTAATTTCAGAATTAATGAAGATGAATACTGTCCATCTCTGTCTCTCATTACAACAGGATATTGTACTGCTGCCACATTGAATATCAGATGCACAACCATGTAATTCTGGTGTATGTGGCTGAAGTGCTGTCGATGTGAAAGGCCTGGCCTTTTCCCAGCTTGGTTAATGGAGCTACTAAGACTCTTTCCACACTTCTGATAGTTGGAACTATTCCTGCTAAATAGCTGCTAAGTTTCTTTCTTTTAAATTAATCTGAGTTAACTCTCAGTGGTGAGAGAATCCTTGAGTACAGGGTTTGGTTTTTTTTTCAGGAGGAAGGTGTTTTATTTCTATAAACCATGGCAGTGCATCCTTAGGAATGCTCTTTGTGGAGCCCAAGAACTAGAGAATGTTTGTCTTGAACAACTTCTAGGTTTTACAAGACATGAAGCGGGGTATTAGTTGTGTTCTGAAACGTGTCTTATAAAACTCTTTAGACTTTGGAATTTTTCTGTAGAAGTATAAATGGGTCCCTGGAGAATCGTGCGTAGAACAGCTGGTGTTCTTTGTCTTCTGTCTTTCGAATAACAGTTATTTATCTGAATGTAAAAGGAGAACACTATTACCATCCTTTAAATATTTTTTGGCTTTGGGGGTAGCATCTTTGCCTTCTAGCAAGCTGTGTGTGAATTTTCTGATTTGTAAAGCCATTATCATTAATCAGGCACTTCTTTCCCATCCTTGCTGTAATTTTATTCACTGCTGTGGTTGTGGGTATTGCCAAGGCTGTTTTTAATACAGCATACCTGATTTTACAGCAACCTTGTAAAGTCCACTTGTCAAAAGCAAACAAAAATAATTACTCAGTTTCTGTCATGTCAAATGTAATTTGAGAAAGCCCAGTCCTTCCCTGAGGTAGGTGTAATTTAGTTTCCTGCATTTCATCTATGATTGGTTGCCTTGGTTCTCTTCACAATTAGAAGAGAAAATATGTTAGTGCTAGGTTCTTAATAGCAAGCTAACCACAAAAGGTCTGATGAGTTTCTTATTTTGATGTGGTTCGTAGGCTGTGACCTGGTCGGTTTTATTAACTAAATTCTGAATGGTCTTATATGACTTCTTGTTTTTCTAGCAAAATGTCTATTCAAATCAAAGTGGGTTTTTTTGCAGTTAATTCCCTTATTATCATCATAAAGCATCTAGTTTCTATTTTTAGACCACGCTCAGAATAAATTACATGTTATGCAAATGAAATGGTAGCCTTTTCTAAACTTAAGCTGTTTTTAATTTATCCTGGTTTTATGTTCTTTCTTGGAGGTACAGAAGTTAATTTCCATTATTTTAATTTTTTTTTAGATTGCGTGTATATTGAAAGTCGCCGTCCGAACACCCCGTATTTCATCTGCAGCATTCAAGACTTCAAACTGGTAAGGAAAATTTTCACACCATCTTCTCCTTTTCCCTGCCCCATTCTCCAGTGAGATGGCAATGTTTCTTAGTCTGTATCTCTTCCCATAGCTCCTCGCTCCTGAGGAAGTCTTTAGCTTCTGAGACAGTGGCTGTTTTGCTGTGAAGACGTGGATCTCTCTTTGGTATAGACCTAGTTAACTGGGTGGTAGAGTTCAAGTTGCGGTCTACATCATTATATGGTTTTGTAATCCACAGAAATATTAACTTTGTGTGTTTTTGGGAAATTGTGGCTCAGGAAGTTAAAGTTTTTCCTGGGAAGTTAAATATGGATGTGTTTTACCTCTAGCTTTATATAGCACAGTTGTCTGAGCGGAAGCATGTGGGCTGACTTGTGGTAGGTACGTTGTGTATCTCAGCTGATGGGTGGACTGTCAGTTGAGGATGCAAAGAGAGACTAGACCAATATGAGAATTCTATATTGATTTGGAAAAATATAAAATAACATTTAAGAATAGTTTAGCACTTTATTTTTTTTAAAATAAAATGTTGGGGACCTGTGCAAGAACAGATTAGTGGGAGTTGTGATTTGACCCTTTTTATCTGAATTTGTACGCTTAAAAGGTTAAATGTGTTCCTTCCTAGTATGCTGGAGCTGCACAGAAAGCCACTTGCTTACACAGTGCAGAGCAGGAACCTGCTGCCTATTTGACAACAAAGGGCACCTGTCCTGCTTTTGGACTTCGCAGTGTTTTGGGTAGTGCAGGCAGGATATTTGTAAAAGGTAATTTACTGCTGGTCATCTTGCTGTTGTTGGTTTATGGAAATTCTGAATGTAATAAACTATCCCTCTTATCAATGTATAGTCTACAGGCAGAGATCACCCACCATTGGTTGCTATCAGAATAGATCTTCCTTTTCCAAGCTTTCTTACTCAGTCTTTCATTTTACTCCTTACAAGTTGATTTTGTGAGAGCACAGTGAAGGAGAATGTAGACTTTCTTCAATATTGGTGTCCATGGTAGTGCTTGGCACTTGTTAGCACATGCACGGTTCTCTCGCTCCCCTTTCCCTCTACTTTTAAAAATTTATTTATTTCTATTTTAAAATAAATAGTTGGATTTGTAGTTAGCAGGTTCTAGCAATGGGTTAAGCCACAGTTGTACTACTCTTGCACATTAGCAGGTGCTTTTGTGTCTGACTAGAATTACAATGTGATAGTTGCCATTCTGGGCAATAAGTTCCTGCTGCGTTGCATTAATTGCTCAGGATATTAACAACAAAAGCTGAAGCTTCTGTTGTCAGCCTTGGCCTTGTACAACACATGAAAGCCGTTTGCAAAACTCTGTGGAAAGTTCAGTGCAGTATGGTTTAGTACCTTGAATTTTTTTTGAGTGGTGTCTCATGTTTTCAACACACGAAGGATGTGACATCAGGGTTGCTGGCGATTTTGCATATTGTGACACATGGAAATAGTACCATTATTTTGTGTTTACTTTTGCCTGCTCTGGGTAGTAATGTGGCTTTAATACTTGGTTGACATGACTGTTGAATGATTATAAGAAGGAAGAAAATAGTGCTTGGTAGAGTAATAAAACTAGGATCCATTTCCATCTAGATTGGGGTTTGTTTACTGTTGATGTTTTGTTTTAGAACAATCTTACAGCTTGGGGTTTAAATTACATGGGCAGGTCAATAAAATGGAAGCAGTTAATGCTTAGGTGTCTGTTTTAAAAATGTCTTTCCCACGTAAGTTTTTCTGATTATTTTTTCTTTCTGTGAGAAAACGTTAAGATTGCTTACATCAAGAGATGTCTCCTGTACATCAGTCATAACTTAATTCTGCAGCCATAGCGCTGCATTTCCAACAACGCCGTTGTTTCAGCAGCATACAAATCTGCCATTTGTGTTCAGTGGGCCTAGCAGAGGTGTGTTAGAAATTCTCAAGGTATGTAATTGATTTGATATGGAAAGTTATGCTGTTTACAAAGCCAAGGATCACCCTGCTGCCTCTTCCTCCTGAGTAGCTCTCTCCTGAACACCTAGTGCTGTGGACAGACGCTGTCACTGGCCAGGCACTCTCGTTTGTGGAGATGAGTTAATGATAATGTGAGCTTACCCCTGGCACTGGGTTAGGTAAGCCTTTTATAACACAAATACACACACAGCCCCTGTTACATAAACTAAACTGGCTTTAGGGAGAGCTCTGTGACCTGATGTGAGTGGGAAATCCAACAGGACTATTCTTTTAACTCCAGTGGAATTTAAGCAAGGATTTCTACCTCTGCACAGGGGAGCACAGACATGGGTGCTTTGTACCAAGCTCTTGATCTGTCTCATGGTGCAAACTGCTTCCTCAGGAGACAATAGCAGCTGCTTTTGTGGGTTGTGAGCAAAAAAAGCCTGCAGTGTTGGTTACAAGATTGTTGTATCCCAATAAAACTCTTCCCCTCACCTTAAATAACCAGCTGTTGGCTTAAATATGATGCAACAGTAGTAATGGCATTTCAAATATGAATGTTAATCATGTAATGTGTCTAAAACAACATGTATCCAGCTTTGATTACTGGTCTCAATTTAAATATCAAAAGTAGTAAAGAGCCATGGATATTGGAAATACGCTTATCTGCACACAGAGATCAGTAGTAAAATAAGATTACTGAATATTAGTGTAATGGAAGAAAGAAACAAAGCACAATGCAGAACTTAAGTTTTAACTTCCATCCCAAGCAAGAGCATACTGATTCAAAAACATAGCTAGTCACAGAACATTACACTTAGGAGTGAATTGAATATAAAGTTATGATTAATTTACTGAAACCCAGGCAATTCCAACTTAACTTCTCAGTTGAAAGGGGGGAAAAAAGCCACATCAAAAATGAAAGAGGAAATGGATCTATTGTCTGAGAAGTCTATATGCTTTTTCTGTGCAATAACGAGTAGAGGTGAAGTGAGAAGTTAAGTAAACAAAAACAACAACAGCAAAACCGAAGGACAATAACTGGCAGCCAAAAGAAACACAGAGCTGCTGTTAATAACAGGATATCTCTGACCATGGTAGAAACTAATTTATACAAATAAAATACGTCTTGCAAATCTGCCCTCTAATCCTGCCATTTAAACCTTTTTTGTATGCATTTCCAGTGTTTGATAAATCCAAATTTCCTTTTTAAGGTTTTCCTTTTTTTTCCAGAGAGAGAGACAGAACCCAACCAGCAAATGGATTTCGGCAACATGCTTATGATTTACCCTATTTTGACTTAATGTGATGTCACATTTAAAATGCTGATTGACTATGCTTTGAATCTGAGCATGAGAGAGAAAAACTTTAAACCAGAAAACCGGTGAATTTGCCATACAGAAGGAAACATTATTAATTGTGATGCAGTTGCCCTTTGTGCCTGTATGTTTACTTGATTGAAGCATCTTGACTGTGGTGCTTTCTCCTTGAAGCCTGATTTGAATGGAGTGTACAGCTGGATTGCCCCAGGGCCTTGTAACAATTTATAGTCTGGATGGAAAAGCAGAAGTGCATAAAAAGACAGTTGTGAAATGCCGCTAGTGCCCTGTAATAGAAAATCTGTGTATGATGACCTTGTCTGTATGGGCCTGTGGGATCATTTTACTGTGATCCAAAGGATTATAAAATGGAAAGTATTGCATCTCACCTGGAATAAAGAGGAAAAATTAAGAGAAATAGGGTTTTTTTTTTCTAAATTATGCAGTATATGCTTCCTCTCCTTTGCATTCTTCCTGCATGTGGCCTTGCATTTCAGCAAACATGTTAAAATTACATCTGTTATTCTCTGCACTTTCACAGGAGCTAGTGTTTTTGAATGCAAATGTCTGGGTGAGGTTTCTGTAGCCACAAGCATTTATGTATTTAAAAGCCTCATTCTGTTTGTAGATGAATTGATGTTCTGTTCCTTGAACTGCAGCTGAATTAATTTGTGGCTAATTTTTCCTGGCCAGTTATGAGGCAGCATGACCTTTCCTTTTTGGTGTGGAAAAAATGCTGATTAATATAGATTCTTGCTCCTCCACATTCATCTCCCCTTCTACGGCCAAGAAAAGGCTGAAAGATTTTCTTTCTACTCAGAACCTTTGCTAGAACTGCTGTCCCATGATTGCTCAATCCTGTCTTCAACAGGGTGAAGAAGTTTGATGTTAAGGTACGGAGCTGACTCGCTAATAAGAGACAGACAAATGAGACATTTGAAGGAGTGCTGAATTATTTAAAATAAAAAATTTAGTCTGCGAATGAGATAGGCTTTTATGTCGGAGCAGATTGAAATGCTGCTGTGATTACAGTGGGGCATGTGTGGGGTGAGAGATTAGCATGAAAATGTGGGGATAGGGGGCTTTGAAGGAAGCAGCGCGGAATGATGAAGAATCAGAGGTGACAGTTTAAGGATTGCATGGCAGGAGCTGCACAGTGATTAAATTCACTGATGCTGTCATTGAGCCGTAAGGCTGAAGATAACATTCTCTCCCTCTGCTGAAAACAAGAATCAATACAAACTCCTTGACAGGGGCTAAATTATTAAATAGAGCCTTTCTTACAATGTTTCATTATCTGGGATTTACCCCAGCTGGTGATTTGTCAGCAGTGCAGGGAGATTTGCTGGGCATTTTGTATTAAAATCATTCCAGATGCATATGAATCCATTTTGATAATTCCCTTCCTTTTACAGGGAGAAAATCTACTCTGTAGATTTTTTTTTTATTTGTTTACTTTTGCCCAGGTGACACTTAGAATTTTCACACAGATACTAAACTGTGGTACACGGTAGGGTTTTTTTTCTTGTCCCATATATGTAAAAAAAAAAGGCTTTTTTGTAGTAAGCCTGTTTTTTGAGTGCTGAGTTGATTTGCTCGCTTTCGGTGCGTTAAATTAGCAAGGCATTTGGAAATGTCTTTCAGATGAGAGTTCAGAATTGAAGAAACAGGAATGAAACTGCTCTGTGGATTTATGGGTATTGGAGTTTCACTGAATTTGCTTGAAAAATAGAGCAACATTCTTTTTATTTTGTTGTATATCTTCTGCAGACAGGAGCAGGAACCATCCATTCTGAAGTAGCTAAAGCAGCATATCTTGCATTCCCAAAGTGCTCAGGGCTCTGTGAAGAGGCTGTATTCAGAGCTGGTTGATGCTGGCAGAGATCTGTAATTTCACCAGTGGCAGTATTTTGTCAAGGAAAGAAGGTTTAGCATTTTTGTGAGGTTTTTTTTTTTTGAGTAGCCTTAATGCACCAATGCAACTAATTTATACAGAGCTACAATGTTATATCACAATTGCATCATGGTCTTTTAGAAAAGGAGAGAATATTTGTATTTGGGGGTTTAAAACAGATGGTAGTATTGTTAAGAATAAAGATTAAACAACTAGAAGTTAAGACTGTATGTAATTTAGGGCTCAGCTCCAGCTCTTCCTCCATTCCTCTCCTTATGGCCTAGACCTTTACAGTTGGAATCCAGACCTTACAACTTAAGGGGTACATATGAAAAACAAAAAAACCCCAACCAAAACACAAACCCCCTAAACACCAACACAAACAAAACCATAAAAAAAAACCCCAACAAAAAACCAAAACCCACAGAATAATCCCCAGGTTTTTTGTTTTGTTTTCTTTTTCCCTGTGCAATTTACCCTGTTTGTTTTTTTGCACCACAAAATTGGAATTTTCATTGCTGGCTTCTTGCCAGCTGAAAAATGAAAGCCTGTCTGGAGGCTGTTGAGGATTCTCACCCAACAAAGGCTCTGTGAGCCCTTTCCCTGCTCCA